TAGAGGTTGAAGAAGTTTGATATTAACATAGCTTATATTCTCTGAACCTTAATCCACATAGCTAAATCAGGCCTCTTTTGCCTCACTTGAAAACACAAGAGATGTTCAAGCAAAACACATTCCACTACATCACATGAGTATACTTTTTTTATTGAATCTCTTTCAACTCTTTCAAGACATTTATTATAATACAGGTTCGAATGAAAGCTCATCTGTGTTGGTAGAATACATAGTTAAAGAGTTGTTGTGTTGTGTTGGAACAAGTCAAACTCTTTAACTATATAATACAGGTTGATATGACAGGCTCTTTGTGCTAAGAACTGTCCATTACAATATTGATGAATGCTTTGTGTACCTTTTATCTGCGAATATTGATGGTATGTACAGTCAACATTATTCACACAACAAAATGCACACAGAAGCAAGCAGTATTGAAATGTTGATGTGATGTAACAAATGTGACATTTTCTCTTATGAAATGTGACATTTTCTTTTATCAGTCATTGTCAGAGATAGGACACATATCATGAAGATCTGACTTGGATATTTTTAGAATACCTTCTCATACAAATGTGAATAATTTTAACACCTGACTGCATGAATTGTATCCATTTCAACCTGTTTTACCTGAAAATCTACCAACACATTAAAATGACTCACCTCTATCTATAATGAACAGTTCAGTGAGCAGTAAATACTTAAAGAGTACTCTGATGTTTGTCTTGTTGACAGATAGGCAAGGATTGCTCCTTTAACCTCTGTCACTGTAGCTATTTTCAGAGCGCCAAGGACACATACAACATGCAATCTGACTGAATAGGCACCCACAGCATAATGTCATCCCATATGTATTGGAATGTTACAAGCATGTTGAGTAGTTGTAAATGTCCCCCTCGTGACGTCACATCCTGACAGGTAACTTGTCGTGAGAACCGGGCATTTGTAGACAGCATTCAGACACCGCAACCCTTTGGAAGTTGCCGGCCCAACATACACGTTAGAGACCCGATCAAACCATGCGAGAAAGCCACCTCCTATGGCCAGGAAATCCAGCATAGATCCCTGTCTTACACACATTAGGAGAGGAACACAGCTGGCCAGGTTGTAGTGTGATGTTCATAAAACTGTATGGTCAGGAAGAATGGGTAAGCACAATAGTTGGACACATGTGGGCCATTCCACAATCTTCTGCATGTTTTTCAATTTGTTACGACTTTGAAAAGTCAAATCTCTCACATCCTGTGTGGGCAAATCCATGGCACTGTGACAAAATAAAGGCTAATTCTGAGTACCCAAACTGTCTTTGGTCGTCAGCCATCTTCTGTAAATAAGCATAATCATATATAGTAAGTATGATATGTATCTCTCTGCCGCATAGCTTTCTGAGTACCCGTTCCCAAGAGATTTTTGTGAGAAGGAATTCAAAGTAATCAGATTAAAAAATGATATGAAATGCATAGATATTGAAATATTAGGGATTGTGTCCAAGACAAGAAGATTACTAGATATAGAATATGCTCAAGACTGCTGCCAACAACAAAAAAAAGATTATGTCTACTTTCATCATTACATTGAAATGTACTCTTGCCTAACAAATATATATTGTTATATGAGGTATATGAATTTTGCCATAGGTTCGATCACCAGTGATACCCCTGTTGGGTACAGAATGTTTTTGTCCATCATACATATTCATTGTTTCGGAGCCCTTTAAAAATGTCTGTCTGCCTCTTTTGTGGCCGGTGGTCTTGGGTGTGTCCAGACTAACTAATTCTCCAGTGCAGGTTGATGACCCAGATAATGTCTCCAGGTGTCCTGTTCATCTTCACACTGGATCAGGTGACATCTCTGCAGCACCCAATATCACCACAAGTCTCTGCAGCTGGTATATATTGTGCTATCACCACGCTCCATCTGCTGACTTGTGCACCCATAACCATATATAACATATAACTCATCACAGTGCGTAAGACTATATCATCCGTATCTTCAAAGCTGCCTTCCCAGGCAGCCTCTTATGGCTAATGACAGTTCTTCAATAATAGATACTTTTTACAATGGACATTGGGACACAATTTACTGCTGCTGAGACACACCTGTACCAAGATCCAGGCAGAGTGGGATCGATTCATATCCCTCTAAGTTGCTGTTTTTGCATGACCACATAAAAAAGTACAAAACTTAATAACCACTCCCCTCTGTGTTGGCAGCCACTGGGAGCTGACCTTCCCAGCCTGGCCCCATTACTTCTGACATTTACGCTTCATTGGGACACCTGATTGTTTTTTTTTCTTTCCTTAGGGAGGCAAAAATGACTGTAATTTTGTACAAATTTTCCCTTCTGCCTAGCCGGCAGTGCAAGTGATAAGGGGCCTCTGGCATGCTCTGCCCTTCTCAGCACTTACACAACACAAGCATCCATTTGTGCCTAGCAAGTTGCAGACTTATTTTGTTGGTACATGTGTCATGAGGAAAATCCTCACAAGTTCATGCTGGCTCTTGTGGGAAGTGGTTGCACCTATCTCTACACTACCAGAATGGAGATGGGGGTATGGAAGGGGGTTTGTACCTTACTTGAATACAAAAAAAAAATGGTGCAATGATTTCCTTGTCTCTAGTATAAGCTGTCAGAAGGCTCAGGTGATGTTGCCTCAGTCCTTTAGAGTGAAGGAGAAAATCCGATGAGGTTGTCGAGTCTTGTTAGACCATCTTGAGAGCCACCTGTGTTCCTGAACCCTTCACCTTTAGGCTATTTGTAGGCAGCAGTCTCTCAGGGACTGGAATATTCAGTTATTTGTCATGATTTTCCCATGTGCTGTCACACTGATGGGAAATTCGCATGCCAGGGGAAGAAGAAATTGGATAGGGTCTTCTGTGGGAACCCAGTACTTCCGTTTCAGCAAGCTGGATTTATCCCCATGTGATCCTTGGTCAACCTGTGAAATATTGGATATAAAAGTGTTCATCTGTTATGTGGTGGGAAGAAACCATGTCACTGTAGGGGTGTGTCATGTAGGTGATCATCTTATTTGGAGACTGATGGGATTGAAAAAAGTATGTCACCTACTTGGATTATCTGTATTCCCACTGGGATTCTTTTTTTCATTTTCTTTTTCCCAGTGGGCCACTTATCCATTCCTTCAAATAGGGTTGTCCGACTGGTAGGATTTCAAGACTGGATAAACATGGACAATGTTGGTATTAATCAATCTGTTGTTAAATCCAATTGTTGTTGTGCTATTATGTAGATGATTGTTTTTCAGATGCAAAGCACACCTAATGAAACAAGTCCTTGAAACCTCCAATCTATTGTTGTCTGATGAAGTACTGTATTTTGGAGAGCTTTGATAAATAATCTGCAGACAAGAGATGGAATTAAAGAGAAAATTTTCTTTTCTGGAAGATGGGTGCTGCTTTTCCTATTTGTATTTCTCAATACCTAGCAGGACCCTAGGGGGTATAGCTGCATGGAGGAGATATTGAACAAGGATGACTAATGGATGCACAGGGCATGGCCTTATCTTCATCACATTGATGTAAACATATCCCAGCATGCACCACTTCGTTCTGAGGGAAAAACCCTTCTGAATGCATGAGAATGGATCCTATAGGAATTAATAAATGACACTTGTGCTTATGGGGCTATTGTTGAAATGCACAATACTTTGTCTACAAAATAAGACGACAAAATTCTACAACTTGCACAACAAAAGCTCCTGCCAGTGTATTGGTCATATGACTACAAAAAAACAAGTGGAAATCACTCAAGCATCCAGTTAGTTCCAAGAGTGCCAGATTTTTAAGGCCTAACATAAGGAATTTTTTTGCACATAGGTGAAATCTATTGATTTAAACAGAGATGGTCGCTGCCTATACACCATATGGTATGGGAAGGACTTTAAAAATTTCCTTGAGGCATATTGGCCCTAGAGAAGAGGAGCTGGCCAATGCAGGCCCTGGAAACAGTCTGGCATCCAGGCTATACCAGATTGTAGATCATGCTAAATGTCATCATGGTTTTGAACCTCTCAGCACCATTTGTAAAGGTTTGTTAGAGAATTTGTCCCGAATTCTTGTCCATTTTTACAGCATTCTGTGATGAAGCCTTATCAGTGATGTGAAGAGAGGGGATTTGCATGAGCTAAATTAGAAAATCCTCTGAGATCTCTTTATATTCAGAAAAATACCAGTGAGGATCTGCCCTCAAAAGCAATTAGGGGTTTGCGTACTGATTTCATGTTTCATGTATAGAAATGTTCTACATTCTGGAACAGTAACCTAGGATTACCCCAACCTTTGCCCTTCCATCATTCCGTTTCTCCTAAGGACAAGCGCTGTGACATTTATAGTGTCACTCTAAATGGTCAGGGTAACTTTACTCAGATAAAACTATGGACCTTGCTATCCTGTGCTATTGGTAATTCCACAGTTGTTAGTGATAACACTGGCCAACAATGCACAAATTTGTAAACGTTTTTATGTAGGGTTTGAAGCTAAGAGATAATAGCCAGTCCCAGGTAGTAGTCCAATGACACAAAGATAACAAATGGATTTCCTGTATGTACTATATTGAAACCAAGATAAAAACTTTATTCTACAGACCTCACAAAAAAAGATATTTCAAGGATATTAAATCCAACATTTTAGAGGTCAGGAGTATAAAAGAAATGGGGGTCACTGACCAGTAACAGCTGGTTGCGTGCGTGGGACACTCAACCTGTATTACAGATTTTCAATTCTTTCTCCTTGACAGAGATTAGCCCATCTGAGAGATTGGTTTCCATAGTTACAATAACCAACTTATGAGGACACTTTGTATTGACTGACCAGCTGTCTTTCTATGGCAATGTACTAATGGGCGGTTTCAATACAGTCCTTGGTTGTGATGATTGGATAGAATTTAAAACCATGCTGTGTCTGAATTTTTGCCACTCATGTCTTTTAACTGCTGACAATGTGAAAATGTGATACTTCATGTGTGTCTTGTTGGTGTTTTTCAGACGTGCCCACCTGCGGAATTGCCTGGAGCGTTTGAAAGCGATCATCCCCCTCAGTCCAGAGACACCACGCCACACCACACTAGGACTGCTCAACAAGGCCAAAAATGAGATTAGGGTATGTCTCCACCATCATCACATACTGGCCTAATCATAATGTTGCTTTTAATTTCCTCTGGATACCATTACAAAACTTGATAAGAAAAAGGATGTTGGTTTACACAAAAGTATTGCATAGGCAATCTACTAGTGGGATTTGTTTTAGAATCTTGTTTTTTTTTTAAAGGAAAGCTTTCCAACTCCAAGCTGTCATTATCAAAGTTCACGTCAAAAGTTTTAATTTCTACCGTCTGTTCACACCACCAGAGGTTGGAAGATGAGAACAGGAGAAACTCGAGCTCACGGGAGCAGTTGTTCAGGCAGCAGCGGCAGCTCAAGCGCAAACTGGAGATGCTGCACCGCAAGATCAGGCATGACAGCACGGGCTCCATGTCCGACAACAGATCTGACTCCTCGGGTAAGGCTGCCACCCCCTCTCCTTGTGTGAAGTGGTACCACCCAATACTGACCTCTCCGCTGGTTTCTCGGCTTGTAGCACAAACCACAACAAGATTAAGGATGGCCTCAGGCAGACATTGTGTCCTTTTAGAAGGAGTATTTTGTTGACCTGTACTCCTTAGTAAACTGTTGATCCCAGAAACTGGAAATACCAATCTTTAACAGGTTGTCATGCAAGTAATTACCCCCTAGACTGATAAAGGAAATTGTCTGCCATAGGAAGTCCAGTCTGACTGCCCCACCTAATGTTTTGAAAACACGGTGTTTGTATGCAATGATTTGATGTGTTTTCCTTCCCCACTTCTCCTTTGATACGCCTGGCTTTGAAGGCTCCGTTCGCCAGTGGCTGGACTGTGGCAAGTCTTCCTTCCATAGTCTAGCCCACAAAATATAGCCCCCATTACTCATACTGCTACCTGTGATGATACCTTGCTTTCCTTTTTAGGCAGACTTTATGTTACAGCTCAGTCAGGTTTCCTAGGAACTGGCAGGGTGGGCATGGGACTGCTTCAGTGAAACTGAATGGGTCAGTACACGTGACCTGCTGCATGTTGTGGAAACAAGGAGACAGGGGGAATCTCTGTGCCAGTAAACAGGAAGGAAACATTTGCCAGCACATTCCTGCCTGCCTTATACAGATGGGTAGAGGTGCAACAAATAACGCTGGACACCCAGAAGAACTGAACTAGAGCCAGTCTGTCCTCAGTACAACAGGTGTTAGGTTTCTCTGGCTAAGCTGGTGGTTCTTGACTGAGTGGTTGTCCTGTCAGCAAACGTATACAGTTCTAAGGATGAAGAAGAAACTCTTCTAAAATATATAGACCTTGATGTTTCACTGAGAAAGCTTCGAGGAACAGCACTTCAGTACTTCGAAAATGGGAGAGTTTCTTCAACCCGAGAATAAAGCAAGCAGTCGTCTGCTACTTACTCACGTCCTTATCAAGATCTGCCCAGCAGCTAGAATTGAATAAAGAAATCCAACTGTTTGAAGCAGACATTGGAAAGGCTGACCACGTACACAGTTTTATGAAGGTCTTCTGCTGACTGTGCCTCCTATGGGTGGGTCGAGGTCATCAGTCATGTGCTGTGACCCCTGTTGGCAGTGACAATTTGCACATGTGGAAGGAAGATGTCAGATGGAATAAGTTCTGGTTTGCAGGAAGGTCCGTCAGTTTCCATGAAATGCATGGATGTGTATGCATGGAAATCTCGTCTTTTTGATATGTACTTTTGCGGTTATGTATGGGTATGCTTTAGGCTGGTATGACTATGTTTACAGCCTGAGCAATCAGGGGTACAGGAGTGTGATTGACATGGGGTCAGCTAGCCGAGACCCTGCAAACACTGGGGACAAACAAGGTCTTTAACTTCTGTCAGGGAACAGGGGTTGGTTTCTAAAGAAGCATTCACATCAGGCCATGAATAATACAAGAAAAAATCAGATGACTCAGCAGCAGACCCCCACCATTGTTATTGACACTGTTCAACCGAAAGTTGTGTGTAAATTCATTAGCAATGGCCACAGCGGAGGCTGAAATGCGGGCTATTGGTGTCTTTGGAAAAGATATGCTAATTGGCCAAGTTGCTGACATTTTTCCTTTTGGGACTGCCAGAGAACAAGGTGGTTTTTGTCCCTCACCACATCGGTATGCAGGTAAGGTGCTTTGTTTATACACAGTGGGTAAAGTTTAGCGAACAGAGTTAAAAGACCAGATCATGTGTCCAAAAGGTCAACCCGCTGACCAAAGGGGCAGTGCCTTGAAATTTTGTTCCCATTCCCTTTTTTCTCAAGGTCTTCTTGATCAAAAAGCATGGCCATCAAAGGTCCTTTTGATGTGGAAAGCCTCCAGGGGCAACTTGAAAAGTCTTGGGGAGTCTTGGGGGTTTTCTCAAAGGACATGTGGGTTGTTTTGGCTGTCAGCTGTTCAAATATTTTGGACCACAGCAATATGAGACTTTACAGCAGTCCACATCAGCTAGCCACCAAGGCCTAAGCAAATCCAGAAAGACGCTCAGAGAGCTTAACTGCAGAATCCTAGGCACACATGGGAAGACAGCACTGGAAAAAAAAATTGTTCGGATTGATGGAATTGTGTGAGAGGAAGGAATTGTCCTGAGCAAGCCCAGAGAAGTGTGTGTTTATTTATTCAGGCCAGATGTTTGCTGCTGATGAGGAAGAGGATGGGTTATTCTGGGACTTGGGGAGGCGGGAACAGATAATCTGTAGCCTGAGGAGAGGCTGGGTAGATTAGGTAATTAGGTGGTAGTGAACAAAGTACAGAGGAAGATAAAAGAGCTACTACATAGAACATATAGACTTCGAACTGCATTCTGCCAAGGTCTTTGCCCCCTGTAGGCAAAGGTTTTTTATTGGTATATGATGCAGACACTGGTCTCAGCTTTCCAGAAACCTAATCTTCCCACAGAAAACAAGTTGACAGTGATGAAAAAGGGGAATGAGCTTCTGTTGGGACAGTCCATGACAAAATGAATTTGCATGCTCTGTTAGCAAGTGTCCCATTTCAGTCAATAACAAGCAGCAAAATCACTTTTCATGCCTTAAATGAATCTTGCTATCAGTGTCTTTCAGAAGGAAGATTTGGGTTGGGCAGTGCTTTGATTGTTCTAGAAAAAAAAAGTATCCCCCAGAATTTGACGTCATGATGAGATCTGTCTAAAATAGATGGTAGCGTGGGACCAGGGGTTAGTGTTTGAGTTGTGAGTGTCTGGCATGTCACGCATGTTGTTCTGAGCCTATGAATGTGCACAAAGGTATGGGCTCTCTTCCTCCAGGAATGACAACTATCCTGATGGAGTCAGCAAAGGCTCTGGCAAAAGGTTTTTGAGCATCAGGTTGGAGACTGATCTTGATGCTGAAAAATATGTTACAGCTAAGATATAGACCTTTGCAGGACTTCTAGTACATGTACTACTACAGTACTAGCTGAGACTAATGGTCCTCCCAGTTCAGTGCAGTATCGATATGACTGGTTTGTTAGCATATCAAGGAAAACAATGTTTGGCTGATATTGGAGATGTGTCGGATGCTTTATCAGCCATTCAGATCAACTTGTATATATTGAAACCATCTCACGAGATGGCAGGATGCGTTCTAGCTATGTGTATTGTTTCACTGCATATTTTACATCTCAACTCTTCTAGGCCAGTACATTTTGCAGGCAGTTGTACAGTGCCATGATTTACCCTTGATATGCAGGAGGGAATGAAGATAAGCAGGTTTAGGTAGGAAAGGGACTGGACAGTGGAGAGGCTGGGTCATCAGATGACTAATGACCAGAGAAGCCCCCCAGTAAATCACCATGTTCCAGGGGACCAGCTAACACAAACACACACAGCAGCTGACATCTTTTCATTCAAAATATTATGTTTCCTCCTGTGGGGTGATTCTTCTTGTACCTGTTCAAGGCTTTCTGTGAAATACACGATTCTATGATTTTACGAACAGTCACGTAATTGAAATTGCCACGTATGAAAATTTGGTTATAACAGTGATGCTTTAAATTTAGATGAGTATAGACACACTACTGCAATACCATATAGGAATTCCTCTTCTGAATTGTAATCCACATTCCTACAGTGTTTAATCAAATGAATTTGAAAGTCAAGTAGCTTTATGCTTTAGTGTAAGTGAATAATATACCTGGTCCTTATGGTAACTGGTTAAATTTGGCTAATTGCTTGTGCCTACTGTGACACACAGACCAGAAGAAGACCAATGCATCACTGTCACATGCCTAGTTGCCCATGCTAAAAGGTGGAGGGCATTTCATGAATAAATAAAACTGAGTAAATCTATCATGCAGATAACAAGGTGGTGGTACCTGCAGAGCGAAACCCAGAACTTCCTTCAAGTAAAAGGAAGACGCATCATTGTAAGAAGGAAAAAGAATTTGTCCTCCTTCAGGCAGTGCTTATGTCCTGGAATAAATCAGCATGTGTCCTGCAGGAGTGGAAACTAAACAGGAAGACACAGTCTGTAAACAGCTAGGTGCCAAAACAAGTCATTTGCTTGCCCCTCCCTCCCCCATTACAAATGCTATAAATTTGCAATAACCCAAGGGGAACTTGGCCATTGCTTCAGACCAAGTAGGCCCTGCTACAATAGATAGCTCAGTATCATCTGACTGACAACTTGTGCCAAGCTTTAAGTCCCAGGGATTTAAGCTGAAAGTTAAACAAATGAGACAACAGTGTTGTAAGATAAGGACGGCAAGCCCTGTGTTTTGATGGGTGGGACCCTCGAGGCCTTGTTGTAGGTGTTTCTCCTCAACTTGCCCCCTTCCACTTACCCTTCAAAGTAATACTTTTACTATTTTAGGTCAAAGAAAGGCAAAATGGCTCACCAGGTTTCTTACTCCTAATGTTGGTCATATAATCCAGTGTTGGGTGCAACGAACTCTTAAGTCAACATCTCTGATTGATTTATTTTGTTTGGTAGCAAATCAGGGGGGGGAAATGATACTATCCCATCATCCTTTGCAATACACATCCCACAACACGTGTCCCAGATGGCTGACTGTCAGCACCAGGCATATAGTCTTGTCATGTTTCCTTTAAAAGTGCAGCAATGGCAACAATTTGACCAGTAATTTTTGGTTCTTTGAATTATCAAAGGACTCAAGTAGTGTATGAGGCTATCTGACTTTTGTAACTTATGTACAACTTCTTACATTGTGTCTTAAACATTTATGCAAGCATTTGCTTCAAAAATGGTGCTCAAACTTCACCAAACTAAAGTGCTTTTCTACAAACTCTGTTGATTGGTGATATTATACATCTTGTGCATCAGAAAACCCCAAATGCACCAAAAAGCACCCATGGGAAACGGAAGAAAATATTATATTTGATATTATTTATGTAATAATCATCAACAAATGCAATTTTCTTCCGTTCCCGGTACGCAGCAGCTTGGTGTTGGCAGGAGGAAAGGAGCGATGCAGAGTTGGAAGAAACAATAGCATTA